GGTGTGGCACCAGCACGAATAAAAACTACATGATCTGAGTGCAAAATTAGATGATCAACTGCAGTTTTTCTTTAGAACCCAATTTCCCTATGACTAAAATTCAAAATGTTGTCTTTTGTTAGTGGAAAATCCATTATTATTTATGGCTTTCTGACTCATTTGAACATTGTATTGTAGACAGATTGTGACATTAGCATGATGGATTTTTCGGAATCAATAAAATAAAACATTTAACAAGAAGAAGGCTTTCATTTTGTGTTATAATTAATGGTGTATAAATACTTATACGATGTTATTTTAATGTGATGTATAACATGGAAAGATTCTTGTTGTATTATAAAAATATTGAAGGTGATTTAAAGTATACGATAATTAGTTAAAAAATTTGTCAGAATCCGAATTCCTCTCCCACGCATTTGATTGACCCCTGACCTGAGGGTCAGAGGGTGAAGGACACTGGAAGCGTCGTCCCCTACATTGGGGGTGGAGCAAAGGACTGTTTCTGATGAGAAAGAGGATTTTTAGAGATATAGATTCGTTTTGAACGCCGAAGAGTAGAGTTGTAATTGAACGATGATAGATTTAGTATGAACAAAAAAGAAAGGGAGCAGTTGCGCTCCAAGAACATTATACTCTACAGCTCATGTATCTATTTGTAACTTTTCTGTAAATAATTCTATAATCAAGAATTTAATAATAAATAAGCTATAATTGAAATAATAAATAATCCTTGGTCATCCTTATTGAGGAGTCTTTAAAAACGAACCAAGAGACAAAATGTCTCACAAAATTGTTAGGAGCTTCAATTAAACAATACTCTTCATTATGCAACTGAATGGCTTGTTGAAGAAATAAGCTGTTTGTTTGCACATTTTATTAAATATTCGGACAAGTTATTTTTATTCATAAATTTATAATTCTTTTTAACTGGCGATGAGCAGCAAACCCAATTTTGAGTTTACAGCAAGTTAGTTTATTACTGAGTTTTCAGTCTCCTTAGCCTTGTCATTTAAAACCCAACCCAGAAGAAAAGGGAACTTGTGGATCAAGCATTGGGACAAACTAGCCTTTGTGGAGACTTTCTTTGATGGAATTAATCAGTGTTTGCGTTACGTGGGAAGGGAAACAATGAAAACCTTCTGTGGTTATCCCGATGAGTTATTAAATTGTTAAAAATTTCTTCTGCATTTTATGCAAAATGAAATAAAACTGAAAATTAAAAAAAAGCTTTGAACTATTCATTTAAAGCCTTCCTTTTTAAAGGCAATGCACTATTCTTAGTTTAATGAAAATAGCTTTCAGAAATGAGAAGAAATGGCTGTCTTCTGAGGCACGATTGGGTAAGTATTCGTTCTTCACCCTCTCTAGGCAACTCAGCTTTCGGTCATTGTTTCCCCTTAAAAAAAATTTTAAAAAAATTTTTAAAAAATTTATGTGTAGAAGGCTTTTTTCAATGCCTACGAGTAATGCCAAGGCTGTGAGTTCGAGCCTCACCAGGGGAGTGTTTGATTTTTTTTTTAATGTGGAAGAATGCATGATGTTCTTACAGTGTTAAATTTATTTCTGCTGATTCGAATATTTTGAATACTGTCAAAAAAAAATTCAAACACTTTATTAAACATTCGTTTTCAATCAGTAACACTGTAAAATAATTAGATTTTAATGTAGAATAAATGGTGATTTGAAAAGCACTTGTCTTCCCAGAATCGCAATTATATAGCGGAGCATATTTATAAAAGCTTGAAAAAAATATTTATATCAAGCCTCTCCTGGGGAAAATGTTTGATTTCTTTTTTTTTTTTTATGTCAAAGAATATTGCCGTGGTGGTTTAGGAAATAGAGTTTTCGCTAACCAATGAGGTGAACCTAGTTCGAATCTCAGCTTGCCAGCTTGCATATACCAGCTTGCACCGACCACAGTGCTGACGTAAAATATTCTCAGTGGTAGTGGGATTATGTCTCTTTGTATGGGTTAGAGTCCCTTTGTTGCCAGGTTAAGTGTGGACGGTTTCGTGGTTTTCCTCTCTGTGTAAAGCACATGCTGGTTAGTTTCATCAAGAAAGTTCCCCACGAAGACAAATGTCTCCCAATACTTGATCCAGGAGTTTCCTTGTGTTCTGGATTGGGTTCAAAATTACAAGGCTCGGAGTTGAATATTTGTAGTAGTAAACTCAAAATTGGGTCTGCTGCATTTCAACGCTGTATTCTCTGAGCCCCAGAAGTTCAGAGAATACAGCGTTTGCTTCCCAATGAGGAGAACCGGGTTTGAATCGGCCATCCTCGCTATAAATTCTAGTATAAAATGGGCTTTTTATATATATATATATATATATATATATAATAAAGTTTTTAAACATTTTTATCAAGAACTCATATTAAAAAATNTATATATATATATATATATATATATATATCATTTGTTATCGCTTCGTAAGCATATATGTATTTATATTCTATTGGATAGCTTCCTTTCGAGTGTTGTCCAAGTCCAAAATAGCTATCTTAAAAAACATTTAACTTCCTCTGTCGTCATAAGTTTACAATAAAAATACACCACAGTCCAGAACTCTAGTCTGTATAGTCCCGTGCCTATTAAGACTTAAAATCTTTATTCTTGAATCGTGGCTCAGGGGATAGAGCTTCGAATCCCAATGAGGTGGCCCGCTTTCGAATGCCAGCGATGGATGGTCTATACGAATTCCGCACTCAGCTTGTATCGACCACAGTGCTGTTGTAAAATATACCTCAGTGGTAAACGAATCTCGAGTCCTTTTGCCGAAGCAACAATAAATCCGTATAATTACAACTTTCCACTTCCAATCTCTTATTTAAGTTTTAAAATTAAAGTCCAATTAATTACGCTCTGGTGAGATTATTGGAATGAAATTGACAAAGGTGGCAGATTATTTAAAATTTTTTAATGAAGTCACTTAATTTAAATCTTTACCTTCTAAACAAGAAATCTGGTTTTTAACTGGACATGGTCCTTTTTCCAACATACTTCAAATGCTTTAACATCTCTAACACTAATCTTTGCACTGTTGGCCTGATGGGCCCTCCAGATAACTATTTAACTTCTTACCCATATACTTATATCTCGGCACTCAAGTCCTCCTAATGTTAATAACTCATATGCTTGGCAACAAAAAAATATTTGATTTTCAATGAAACACTTAAACTAAAACTATGGATTTTCTACAAGAAATCGACTATCTACTGAAGTTCTAAAAATTTTTTTATTTCCCTTTTAAACTTTTTTTCTTTTCTTCTATATACTCTCTAAAACATTAACTAACAGTGATTAATAATGTTAATATTTCTTTTTGTGACATAAAGAAAACTACAGCGTGATAATTTCTTTTATTTAATTTTTTATGTGCGAGTGTTTTGTTTAATTTTATATGTTTCTTAGACGTTTTTACATTAAGAAGAGTTATTTAGTAATATCACTATACTTTGTATTATTTGTTATGATCTATGTGAAATTTTTTTGTATTGTGGAAGATTTGTCAGTATTTTTAATCTTCAGGAGAATTCATAAACCAATAATTCCCAAATTGAGTAAGCCAACAAAAATTTATCAGAAAGTATAGAGTCAAAATAATACTATCATTGATTAGTATTGTCTTTAAAAGATTTGTTAATGTTTGAAAATGTCTTTCTTTTAAAATATTTAACAATAGCTTGTTGTAATGAGATAATATTACAAGACTTCTTATGTAAACTTACACAATCTCTAATTAGTGCAGTTGTGAAAATGTGCTGCAAGTTGTAACGTGACTTTTAGTTTTTAATAATTTTCTAAATGCGCCGGGTAAAATATGTTCTCCATTCTATTTAAACTGTGCTGTGAAAATTTTTTTGGTATTTCTAAAGACAATCCACAAAACTTCTTACAAATCAATTCTTACTCAAATTGAATTAACCTACAAAAACCTTTCATAAAATATAAAATTGAAATAATAACAACTTTGATTAGTATTGTCTTTTAAAGATTCGTTATATAGATTAATGTTTTTATTTTATTTATTTTCTGTTCTCTGGACAATTCATAAATTTTTCTATGAGATTACTCAATTATTTCTATAATGAAATAATATTATAATATCTTCAGATGTGAACTAACTAAGCCACACAATCTTTAACTAGTGTAGTCCGGAAAATGTGTTATAATGTGATTTTGTGTTTATGAGAATTTTAAAAGTAGTGCTAATATTTTAATAAATAGCATATTATCTCTATCATTTTTGTAATTTCCCACCTCTCTTATTTTATTCGATTGAAATGTTAGATTAGTTAGTAATTTATGGAAACTCGTAAAAAATTATTCGCGAATCTATAAAAAATTTTAAAAATTCATTGATGCTAGTGGGTAATGTTACCCTATTGATACTTGTGTTCAGCATAGGTAATTTTATGTTATTGACCCCTTTTTGTTTCGGTCAATAAATTTTTTTTTTATTCATCTTTTTTTTTCTCCTTATAAATATCCCTTTTTCATTTTTGTATACAGGCAAGATTTAGTTTCGCATTCGTCTTCAGCCAGCTTGTCTCGGTTTAATATAAACGTTTTAAATAACAGTTCCTTTAATGGTACTGTCTGTGTTCATTTGTATTAATAAGTTCGCCTCTTTAGTATACGCACAGCTTATTTTTCCCATTTTTTGGACAGCTCTGCATTTTTTGACTCCTCACAGTGGCGTACACAGCATGAGGTACGCTACCAAAGTACTCAAGACGTATTCAAGACAAAGTACATATTTTAAGATGGTTTTGAAGTAAATTTAATAATGAAGTATAATGTAATTAAAATTTTAATCTTCTTCTCATTTAAAGAAACAACTTAAAAATAATATGTTAGAAATAGATTTTTACTACATTTCAATAAAGGAATAAGCAAATCTGAATCTCTAAAAAATAATTCGAAACTGAATATTTTCTCTCGTTTGAATTACTCTCATTTTCTTTGACCCACTAAACGAATAATTGTACTTCTTTACCTCTTATCTGTTCCAGCTAAACCAACCGTCGATAGCTCAGTTGGCAGAGCGGTGGACTGTAGAGGAAAATTCATAGACATCCATAGGTCGCTGGTTCGACTCCGGCTCGACGGACGCTTTTTTTCAAATCGTTTTCTTGCAATCGTTGTAAAGACTCAGACGATATGATTTTATCTGAAAGAAAACTCGTAAATTTTTCTTGTGTAATATTTCCAAATGTTAATATATTTATAGTAATTAATTTTTAAATTTACTGAATTTCTCTGCAGCAAGCTTGCCCTCAGACTCATCTGCATTTCACAGATACTGCATCTCTCTAATAATGTCTGAAGTTATAAATTTTTAAAAAAGGATTTTAAATTCAAATACTTTTTTTTCTCGCACGAATCACTTCTTCAACCCACTAAACGAATTATTTGTATTTATTTATTTCTTATCTGTTTCTAACTATATCAACCGTCGATAGCTCAGTTGGCAGAGCGGTGGACTGTAGAGGAAAAATCATAGATATCCATAGGTCGCTGGCTCGACGGACGCTTTTTTTCAAATCGTTGTCTTTCGATCGTTATAAAAACTCAGACAATACGATTTTATCTAAAAGAAAACTCGTACTTTTTTATACAATATTGCCGAATGTTAACATATTCATAAAAATTAAATTTAATCATTATAATTCAAGCTAAATTGATTGCAAGTTTATTTATTCCAATGCATATTAGTGTACTGTTCGCTTGAATCGAAACTTGAAATTACCTTTTCTTTATTTATTTTATTATTATTATTTTTCAGTCCTTGCGACAGTCGAAACAGATTCAAATGGAAGGTATTTTTGTTATTACTATATTACTTGTTAGCTAAAAAAAGGTTTATCTTATCCATTACTGAGTAAATATTTTGTCTGAAATAAAGATTTAATTAATTTATTTTAAAATACTACTGACTAAGTGCTTTATCTTCAATAATGATTTATTAAATTTATTTTAAAATTCTACTGACTGAATGTTTTGTCTCAAATAATGATTTATTTAATTTATTTTAAAATACTAGTCACTAAATGTTTTATCTCAAATAATGATTTATTTAATTTATTTTGAAATATTACTGACCAAATGTTTTGTCTCAAATAATGATTTATTTAAATTATTTTAAAATACTACTGACTAAATATTTTGTTTCATATAATGATTTATTTCATTTATTTTGAAATACTACTGACTAAATGTTTTATCTCAAATAATGATTTATTTAATTTATTTTAAAATACTAGTCACTAAATGTTTTACCTCAAATAATGATTTATTTAATTTATTTTAAAATTCTAATGACTAAATGTTTAATCTCAAATAATGATTAATTTAATTTATTTTAAAATGCTACTGACTAAAAGTTTTGTCTCAAATAATGATTTATTTAATTTATATTAATATACTAATGACTAAATGTTTTATCTCAAATAATGATTGATTAAATTTATTTTGAAATACAAATATTTCAGAACTAAAAAATACAAAATGAGGTACATATCATAACAATACCAATTCTATTTATATCTTAAACTGAACCCATTTACCCATAGTAATAAATTGCAGAATTTACGATACTGATAGAACTAAATAAACTTAATGCTATGACGTGAATTATTTATTTTCTTAAACGATCGTAATGATTTCTTCCAAACAATACGGCGGAGAGTTTCGAGTTATTTATCGATGGCCAAGTACAATAAGAAGACAGTTCATTTTTTTTATCACACTGGTCATAACAATTGCTTCACTCACAACCAGTGATATTCCCAGAAAAATAAATAAATAAATAAAAGTAGGCTTTTGAAAAAATTAATATCGTATAAGATGTATTAGCCAAGGAGTATCGCACACCGCTAAAAAATAAATAAACTGAAATAAATAACGTCACTATTTGAGACACAACGTGATTCAAGGATTCGAGATAACTTTTGTCGTTTATTTTGTATTTATTAGAACGTTGGCCTGAAAATTTTATCTAGAAGTGAGATACTGCGTGTATATTTATAAAATAAATTTTTGTAATTTATTCGTTTTTTTTTTCTTTGCTATGCGGTATGGAAAATAGATAGGAAAAACTAAAAAAAACTTAGTTTTTCTGCAGGTTTTCAAATTGTTTAAAGAAATTAAACTGTATAAATGTTTAGAAAGTAAAGCAATTTAATGCTTGAGTCGCTGTGCATGCGAAAATCGATAAATAAAGAGGGGTGATTGTCCGTTTTAATTCATTTAATTTATTTATTTCATGCAATTTAGTATTCCCCGAAATTTATATTTTAATATTAATGATTTATATTTATGATCATTAAAATCAACAGACGACAAAATGTATCAAAAGTATTGCATTGATACATTTTGCTTTAGCTGTATTGATGCAACATCAGGAAGAGCTAATTTTGTCGGAAATGATCGCGTGAGTTGATGGAAAAAATTATATCTTTTCATTCTTAATCTAATAATTAATTAATACTTAATTTTTTTTTAAATTTTCTGATAAATTCTTTTTTTCTTTATATTAAAACGTTTTAATGAATTCTGTGGAATACAATAACGGGATAAAAAAAGAATTAGAGAAAAGTGAGATTAACTAAGAAGATTTAAAAAAAAATAAGTTTTATTTATTTAAAATATATTTTTCGTTGTTTTCTTTATATTTTTATCTAATATTATATATATTCCCGTTTTCAAACTAAAGTAATACTAGTATTAATAATACTGATAATAATAATGATAACGATTTTATTAGGAAAAAAAGCACAATGCCATGAAAAGTTTTTTAATAGTACAATGGAATCAAAGCTTCTATTTTTACATTTCGTGGAAATAATGTGTTATTTTCTTAATATATCGCTGAAAATAACAGATCACTTCCGGTACAGATCAAAAGTATGTATTAAAAAGTAACCATTTCTACTGTGTTATATGCTTCATTTCAGGAAATAATAAAAATTCTCAAAGGACAAAGCGATGATCATAAAACAGTCGAATCTGATTTTACAACACGTGGTACATTACAATCGCACAAGATTTTATTAATTTCCATGTTTTTCGCGACAGCCTTATGAACACAGCAGCGGAACATCGGTGTTCCATTAAGCATAATGTAAACACTCATCCAGAGTAAAAATTTATTTTACTTTATTCATTTATTTGTTCAGCTTAGGGTAATAAACTACTCTTTTGTCTCGCCAGTACTTAAGGAAATAAGTTTCTTCAAACACAAAATGTAAACAAAAGAAAACTTGAGAGAAACTATAGTTTAACATTTTTGAAGCTAATTTTGCAACACAAATAGTCTGCCTCATATTGAGAAGTCTGTTTGTTTTGTCACATATTTTTATATTCTCTTTCATTTTGCGACATTCAAATATTTTTTATCTCAAATAATTATCGCGCAATTTTTAATTCATTTAGAAATAACAAATACAAGCATGAAAAAATGCCTTATAATGTTATAAAACAAATTTAATAATTGGACACCTGCAAGTGACGTCGTTGTAGGTAAATCGTGGCATTTGTCAATTCAGAAGCCATTCAGTTCCGACACACGCGCGTGACGTTACTTACAATATCCAATTAAATCTGATTTAACCCTTTATCTACTGACGATACTTATAAGTACCAATCACTTTAAACTAATTAAACTCAAGTACCACTTTAATTAATTAGTTCTAGCAAATTAAATTTCGCACCGGGGAGATTTTTTTTCTTGTACATTCTTTAATTGTCAATATAGCAGCTAAAAAAATATATTTATGAAAGTTTTTTTCAGTAGTTCATAATGCAGTAGATAAAGGGTTAAATCACATGGTTAGGCACAATCACTTTTTCTCAAGTTGAAATTACCCAATTATCTGGGTATCTTGTTCACGCATGATGTGTCATAGTCAAAGGAGCCATAGCCAATATGGCTATTTAAATTTGCTTAGCTATGGTAACTACTCAGCTTAACTATTATTTTTTCAAACTTGTATCGAATAAAAACAATATATTTGAACCCAAAATATAAGAGGATGCGAATCACATTTTTGAAGCTAATAAAAATTAAATTTTGCAGCACAACCGCAAATCCAGTGAAGAATTATTTTTGCCTGGTCGCTTACGTCAAATTCATTCTACAACTTTTGAGATTGAATATTTGTCGGGAAAAAATTAACGTATGTAAAGTTATAATTAAATATACATAAGTTTAACTCAGAAATCAAAGGTTATAAATATATCTAAAAGCCACCGTGTAAAAAAAGAATTTAAAAAAAATTAACAATTGTACTTGCATCAAGTTATGATGTTGAGTGGTTATTTTCAAATTAGGTATATTTGATTACAGTTTAGTTAAGAAACTTTTTTTTCAATCGCATAATTGCATTTCATTTTGACTTATCGAATTTTTCAGTTACTATAGAAAAATTTTGCTTATGAGGGCGGGATAGCCTGGTAGGTAGGGCGTTGGGCCTATGTCCAAGAGGTCATGAGTACGATCCCCGACGGCTGAAAACTCCCCGTGTAGTAAATGATGATTGATGCACATTAAATCTGTCGGGTCAGAAATACCTCTATGTTCCCATAACAAATCATACCTCTGGAGGTACTGAATTGATGATTGATCGTTCTTTGGTTCAGGTCAAAATTACGATCTGTGACTGAAAGAATGGATGTATGACTAGGTCCACCTTATAAACGGGTTGTGACGCATGTGTGGCTGAAGTCGTATTCTTGGCCATAGATGGCGCGACTGAAAAACAAGAAACGCAATCTCTACCCTAAATACGTTTGGTTTCGCCAGGCAGGCTTTGCTGGATTGGCAAGTGGCATTAGAAAAAACAACAACAACGAATTTTGCTTATAATTATGATTATGACACTGTGCTGACACTGTACGGGAGTCATTGACTGGAAGAAGGTGTATGTGTTATTTCAATAAATTAGAAATCACTAAAACTCCCCCTCAATATTTCAGACAAATAAAGAAAATTTTCATCAGTCATCATCGATTTAAATTCAGCAAAGCTCAAGACAAAATAGGAGATAAAAAATAATTAAACTTCTAGTAGACTTAGCATATCATTATTTTTATTTGCTTATTTATGTGTTTGTTTTGTTTTGTTATGTGTGAAATTTAGAGAACTATTCTGGCTGTGTATTTTAATTTCGCCTCCCTAAAAAATTAGACACCTGTTACGCCCATGTGACACTGAATGATTGAGTTGAATTATTGTATTATATGTAAAACTGTTGTAGAAGTAAAAATATGCGTATTTCAATTTTAATAGCATTGTCTAATATATAAAACAGTAAAACAAATTAAACAAAATAAATTTCATTTTTATGAATATGAAGAGGGTCTTTCTTTATTTTTTATTTTTTTAAATGACTTATCAAGATGTGATTAGCTTTTAAATTTATTTTATTTTAACATTATGTTAGAAATATTTTGCTTTGGTTTCTAGATAGTTTATTTTATTTATTTATTTATTTTTATCGCAAGGTAATTTTTTCTAGAATTGAAATTAACTACTTTTCTTTGCTGCTTTCAACATTACAATTAAGAATTCTATAAATTTAAAGCAGCACAAACAGTGCTACTTCTCAATTCCAACCACACATAGGTAATTTGATATATAATCATGATTTATTAATGGAATTCAAGCGTAATATCTTTATTGGCGACATGGCAACAATTATAGGATTCTCTATTATTATTATTATTATTATGTATTGTCGCACCTCCTTTTCTGCTTTTAATCAACATAAAAACCGGATTCATTAGGGTTAACATTGTCAACAAAAAGAGTCAAAGTCAAGTTCGTTGCAACAGGGACAGATTTTTCCTTGGCGACAATAAGACCCCTTTTTTTATTCTTCCAAAGGTCAACTATCGGCATTCTTGGTTTCAAGATCAGCTTGCTTAGCATATCAAGTTTTCTCTGACCCTTGCTCATAAAGAGAGCTGACCAACTTTGCTGTTGTTATGTGGAAAACTTGTTATCAGTCCCCCGAAAATCAACCTAAATTCTCTGATGATTAGAGATTTCTCTTCTCTGGGTTATTCTTTAAATGGCATTCCAAAGCTGACCTTCATTCTAATGGAGCATCGGAAATCGATAACACTTGCATGTCCAATTTACCAATTGACAACAGAATTCGTCACTATGTCCACTTCAAAATGCGTCCCTTCTGTATTTGCATCTTGTTCCAATGTTCTCTCTGTTATTTGGAGATAAGTGGAATTGATGTTCTGTCTTGATGCTATAGGCAGTACCGTACTACTATTTGAGATATATTTAGATATGCATGTCTAGTTATAGGCTATGACTGGGACATTTAAATATTTTTATTTTAATGTCTAATAACATATTCTGACAACGATTTTCTTTTTAAAAAAAATTATTTCTGTTTTATAAAGTTCTAATATTATTTAAAAAATTTCAAATTTCTATCATTTTTTTAATACTAATTTAGTGTGAACTACATCATTTAAGTAATTTACGTTAAATAATTCTCTTTTTATAGATAGTTTTAATTACATTAAACATGTTAAATTTTTTCAGATAAATGGTAAGCGAAAGCTACATTAAAAGATCTATTTATTCTATGAAAATGTGTAACAATAACAGAACTTAAGCAATTGCTGTTTATTAACTAATGTTAAAAGTGATTTTAAAGCCTATATCCTTATTGTTGTACCTAAAAATGTGATTGTCCTATAATAAAGCATTCTTACAAATCAACTGAAAAGTTATTAGTAGAAACGCTTTTTCCCCAAAATATTAAATTGTGATTCATAATAGGAAGATTTCTTTTTACTTCATTTTTTACAAAGATTCCAAAATTACTAATTAAGGGACCATTTTTTATGAAACACCTGGTACGTTTTGCGCAAAACTCTCGATATCAAGAGTTCGAATGATTTCTAAAAATATAATGTTCTAAATAACTTACGTTATATTTTAATTTACTATAGTTGCTTCATTAATTGCAATACACAGTAGTTTTTTTTAGCTAGAAAAAGTAATACTTAGATCAAAAACTAAGTTTTTAAAAAAACAAAAATATTTTTCACTAAATAATCAATATAAAACTGATAAATGATAACGATTAATTTTTTTCAGATGTCGTTTAAAAGAATTTACCTTTTTAGATAACTCTTAAATGCGTTCTGAAACTTTTAACATATTTATGAATATACAGTGAATAAAGTTGTTTTAGACTTATAATCGACATATGTATAAAATGGTATTGGAAGTTTTTCCAATATTCTGCATCGTTAGTTTTTAAAGCTAGAAATCGGAATTCTTAATTAAATATCGATTCCCCGATTCCGTTTCGCATAAAAGGGGCACCGGGAAACATGTTAAAAATAAAGGAGCATTATTCTTTGGAATATTTAAATCTCTGTATTAGAAGTAAGGTATTTTATTTAAATCAAAACAATTTTAATTTGAACGTATTTTATCACAAAGTTTTGGACAAGGAAAAAAAATTACAAAACTTACTCCCAGGAAGAAAAAAAAATGACAAAAAATCACATAAAGCAAAGATTTTAAGCAAAGCTTTGTAAAGACGCTACACCACAGGGGAAATATTTCATGGAAAATTCTTTTTCAGCTTCATAAGTAACTTGTAATTTAAAGGATAGTAAAAGTGAATTCAAGTAAACCTGGAATAAACTATAAAGTTTCAAGAGTTTAAAATAAATTTAAAATATTAAAATGCAAACAAATTATGAAAGGATTACATAGGACTACGATTTGCGGAAGTTCTTCTGCAATAATCGTTTGCATTTCAATATTTGGAAAATATTTTTTTAACATTTGAAACTACCTGATACTTGACTTGATACTTTGACGTGATAGGTTTACCTGAACTCACTTTTCTTTAAGCTTTACAATTTAAATTACCAATGGAGATGAAATAAAATTTGCAAAGAACAGTTTTTCCCTCTGTATAGCATCCTCTTGATGTTACTCTTAATAAATGATTGGTGAAAAAAATTGTTTAGACTTTAAAAACGATAGGTAGCTTAAATATTTTTAAAAAATGCCAATTTGGCGAGATACTTCCACTTATATTATACTTATTAAAATCGAAGAATGTTTCTCAAATTTGTCAAAAAAAATTTGGAGCATTACAATGCAGCATTGCAGTAAATTTTCAAATAATAATAATAAAATTTCAAAAAATACATTACATAATTATATTTTCTTAAAATTGACATTTTAAGTCATTTTCATAATTATTATAGATAACACTGGCTAAAGATATGCTAAACTTAACCCTGAAACTCTAAAGGCATCCTATCAAATCTGATCCTAAAATTAATTCATAACACGCCATGCATATAACCAAGTGATTAAACACAACCATGTGATTAGTTGTAGGTACCCAATTAGTATTTCTAAAGTTACCTGAAACCACTTATTTATTTTGTACCTCGCTCCACCGAGGAAGGAAGGTAGGAACTTCTAAAACATGTTTTGCGTAATCTTATAACGTAATAATTCTGGGAAATGTAAGAAATAATAATAAAAAGAAAACGAAATAATCTGAAACTATTTTAATCGTGTTTGTATATAC